TTCTGAGTGTTTTATGTGCTGCAGAACAGGAACCTGCTGTAAAACAGCAATTATGCTGAGTCAGGCTTGATTTTTAGTAATCTTTTCCTGTTAAATCAATAAATCAAATCAAATCAAGATGAGATAAAACAGCTAAAATAGGACAAAGTCAGCAGAAGAAGTTGGACAACCTTGTCTATGGGCAGCAGGTAGAACTCTTGGACCTCTCCGTCGCCGATGCTGGGTTTGAACCCGACAGGAAGTTCCAGATCAAAGACGAACTGGCTCTCGGGGAACACCCCCTCCTGGTCCTCGTAGGTGTAGCTGCAGCACACGTTCAGCTGCTGATCACAGGGACGACTCTGTGACATCAGCGGTGGAATCAAACTCACCTCACGGTCGATACCGGCCGAGCCTGGGTGGCGATGTGAGCCGGGATGCAGGCTTCCTCCTGACATTCTTTGATCAGAGTGGTTTTGATGCCGACGCCAGCAGCCAGACCGCCCGCCGCCTGCAGGAACACGAGTCGAGTCAGAGCAGGAACTCACAGAACAAATTAACACCTGACGTCAGCGTCTCACCAGGTTGTCCAGGAGTCCGGGGTACGTCTGCTTCGTCCTGGACCGTCGTGCTAGCCACATGCTAACCTCTCCGCTGTCACTCACTGTGAACCCGTTGACATGAACGCCGTATCTTTTGACACCAAACAGACCTGCAGGAAGCAGCACGGTCCACTCATAAAACATCACCCAACAGGAAACTCCAGGATGTCTGCTGAAACCTACTTGTTGCTGCTCGCTCCATCCACATCAGAGGAGCGTCGGAGAGTCGGGGCATCACGCTGTACCTCTGAGGACAACAAATGTTAACGTAATTCATGTTTTACGTTTAAAGATGCAACCCGTACRAGACACAAAGTTTTTATTTTTATGTATGAAGGTCCAGAGGACTGTACTTACCTGGTACTATTAACATATGTACCTTATTCTTATACGGAACTGCTACTAACCTGGTGAGTACCTTATACTTAGAGGGTAAATATCTGGTAGTTACCTGGTAATTATAAGGTATATACCTGGTACTTGTAGGGTACATATCTGGTAGTTACCTGGTAATTATAAGGTATATACCTGGTACTTGTAGGGTACATATCTGGTAGTTACCTGGTAATTATAAGGTATATACCTGGTACTTATAGGGTACATATCTGGTAGTTAACTGGTAATTACAAGGTATATACCTGGTACTTATAGGGTACATATCTGGTAGTTACCTGATAATTATAAGATATATACCTGGTACTTGTAGGGTACATATCTGGTAGTTACCTGGTAATTTTATGTATAATAAATATCAGACAGGTATTTAAAATGACTGATCAGTAATGAGTTAGTAACCAGCCTCACCTCGTCCCTCCACCCTCTGAGGCAGGGGATGGACTCTTCCCGTCTCAGGTTTTGCAGAACAACATCCACAGCCTGTGATCTGGTCTCATAAGAGTCCAGACTGGGACAGAGACGAACAGCGCCCCCCTGCGGCGGACAGAACACCTGCGGGTGTCGCTTTAACAGCGAGGCTACGTGAGGCGGAATCCAGCCTACCTGAGCTCCGTTTATCTCAAACCGGAAGCAGCTGCTCCGACCCGAACCTGCAGAAACAAACCTTTTAAAAACATCTCTTTATAATGTAAAACTGTGTACGTTCTCTCGGCTACCTGGTAAATAAAAGTTGTTCATTCGGTGGAGGAGTTGTACTATTTTTTCTGACCAGACACTGGCAGCCATTTTTGGCATCACTGCGCATGCGTTCACTGTCGAGTCGCAATGGAACTGATTCACTTATTAAAATAAACTTTTTTCATTAGGATGATCACATCTAGTAAATACTCTTAAGCTAGATAAAACTGTTTAAAATCTTTTGTGTGTAAAACTAATTTTATTCGTACAAACCATTTCTTTTACGTCACGTCAAAACGAGGTTTAGTTAAAAAACTGCGATCTTTGTAGGTCAAATCGAGTCAATCCCAATCCTCATGTCATGTAAAAATGTCAGAAAATTGACCGTTTTCAAACTGATCAAGCGTTAGACCACCTCTGATCAGACCTAGATAGAAAATGCATCACGTACACCTTTCAAATCTAGACTGTTTCCTTCCGTCGTAACCTAGACATCTAATTTCCCAGCCGTCCATGAACGCAGCATTAGTCCTCCAAACAGACCGAGGCAGAAATCGACACCAAATGTAAGACGAAGAAGAGGAACAGGAAGCGATGAATGTTTACAGAACAGAAACGATTAATTTTAACTACATTTTAACTCAGTTAAAGACAATATGAGCTTAAAGCACATCTAACCGGTCAGACWTCAAAGAAAAATATTTATTTTAAAGTTAAAGGATATCAGCTGCCTGCTAAATGGATCTTATGGTGGCATTTTAGGTTTTACAGTTTAAATAATTATTACAGTAGCTTTCTCGGTGGAATAATTGCTACGTTTTACYTTCAGAACAAATAAAAAATAACCAACTGACGGCTGATTTGACTTTAAGGTAAGATTTACTCTCTTTTATCGTAACTTCATCGGTTCATATTTTTCCGACCGCCAAACTCCATTCAAAATTTAACAATTTTAAATTTCTAAGTTTTTGCAGCAAATTGATTAAACAAATAAACTTAAGAGATTAACCTGTAATGGTAAAATGTCCCAGATAGATTTTCGGCACAGTTCAATACAGAAAATAATAAAGTTATTTTGCAGTATTGTAGTTATTCTGTAAAATATGCATTCAAGATGAATGGAAAGTAGAGATAAACTGATTAATYGGTCGACCAATTTAATCAACCGGTATTGGCCTCTCAAAAATATGTTAGTTGCGTCTGTTTATTTAATCAATTATCAAATAAGAGAATTAAAGCTTAAAAAATGAAGCACCAATTCCTTTTAATGATTGTTAAATGTACATTTATTTACATGAACCTAATAATGTATTTTGTTCTATGAAATATACATAATTTATAAATACAAAATGTACAAAACATGCACGTTTTTTATTCAATCAGTTTTACGATATTAAACCAGTTGATAACAACAGCTGTCTTTTGATTTATTTGTTTCAAAGCTGCGACCGCCATGGCTTCGTCAGACATCAGCATCCCGGAGGTGAGCGACATCGTCATCGTCACCATCCCCGAGGCCGTGGGCGACGAGCTCCCCGGCGTGGTGGAGGAGGATAAAGCCGTGCTGGTGACCTCGGAGCTGACTCCTCAGGCCGGGTAAAACCTCAGAACTCTTCTTCTGTTCAGTAAAATCCAGAACAGAAACATGTGAAACTGAGCCTGGATGGATCGGTTCCGTTGGTCAGACTGACACCTGGTTGTCCTCAGGGAAGACGTCCTCACCGTCGCTCCGGTGGAAACAGAAAGTGAAGGCAGCAGGTCCGATTCTCTGTTGAAGGAAGAGGCACTGATCGGTAACGCTTCCTGCTTCGAGCCAACAGAATCTGTTCCTGCTGTGGTTCTGAGACTTAAAGTCCTGGTTCTTGGGGACTTCTGTGGACTCTTTGTGTCTCTGCAGTCAAACTGTCGGAGGAGGTGGACGTGGAGGCAGACGTCTACTACCCCATCACCTGCGGGGACGCCAAGGCCACGCTGGTGTGGAAGAAGTTCGTCTGTCCCGGGATCAACGTCAAATGTGTCCAGGTGGATGTTTGGACCGCGTGACTTAGGTTCATCACGATGATGATGATGATGATGGTGATGATGATGATGTTTAACGTCTTTTTCTTTTTGTAGTTTAACGAACAGCTCATCAGCCCCAAAGAGTTTGTGTGTTTGGCGGGAAAGTCCACCTTAAAAGACTGGAAGAGAGCCATCCGCCTTAACGGAACCATGCTCAGGTCTGAACAGAAGGTTTAAAATGTGATTTTAAAATCTACAGATCTGTGAAACTTCTGGTATGGGATCAATCTTGTGCCGGCAGGGATTGAATCTGAATGTGCAAAATTAGAAACTGATTGCAATGATTTGAAAATAAATTTCACTAATTTGAAACTGAATTTAAAGTTTTGAATCTGAATTTGCTAGATCATATATTGATCAGATGCTGCTGCTGACTGATCCATCATGTGATGTAAATGTAACATTTTATAGGTCAAATTAATCACTGCAATAAATTAACTCTGTTTTTGTCACTTTTACAGTGGATTGCATCAACTCTGTTACATCCAGAAGGGAAACTTCACCAAAGTGAAACATAAATCTGTGGATCTGTGTTTGATTACTCTGCCTGGCTTTCTCAAGGACCAGGATGTGACACAAACATCTGAATTATGGAACTGAAAGTGAAAGTAGTCAAACTGAAATTTTAAGAAACTAAAATACAGTTTCAAAGCAAATTAATTCAAATTAAAAACTTTAAATTCAGTTTCAACTTAGTGAAATTTATTTTCAAACCAATGCATTCAGTTTTAAATTAAACACATTCAGATTCAATCTAAGCAATTCAAATTCAGTTCCTGTTGACACAAGATTGATTCCATATTCCAGTCTGCTCAGGTGTCTGAATCAGAATCAGCTTTATTGGTCATGTTTGTTGACAAACACAAGGAATTTGTTTCCGGCTGATGATGTGTCTCCAACACACAAAAACAAACACACAACAGGGTTTCTCTGGGATTTGTTGTTTTGAAGTTGAAGTTTCTTCCTGTGAAACAGTGAGGTGCAGTTTTCATCTCCACCACAGGGGGGCAGTGTTCCCTCAGGAATCAAACCAGAGGACTTTCTTTTGGCAGGAAGATCATGGACTCAGGAGAACTGGACTTCTACCAGCACACCAAGGTGTGCTCCAACACCTGCCGCAGCACCAAGATCGACCTGGTGGGAACTAAAGGGTCCGCCGCCGCCGACCAGTCCGCCGCCGAMCTTCTCTCTGCCTCGTCTTCATCAGCTGACCGTGAGTTCTGGTTCAGGTTCTGGACTCTGATCTCAGAACTGTTTGGGGTTTTAAAACGGGCGAGGCCGTTTCCTGTCTGTGTTTCAGTGAACGGCGCCGCCGTGGYGTTCCCAGACCCGACGGAGGAACCTTCAGAGTGGGTCACGGCCATCGGAGGTGAGGAACCCTCCCGCGGAACCCTGGTTCTGACCCGGTTCTTGTTCAAACCCAGTCTGTGTCCGTGTGTTTGCAGAGGACTCRGTGACCTTCTGGCGCTCCATGAAGGAGGCGGGGCTTCTGGAGGAGGTGGTGGAGGACTTCCAGAAGGAGCTGCAGGAGGTTCTGAAGGGTCTGCAGGAGAGAGTCTGTGACCCGCCGCTGCAGGTCAAAGGTCAGAACCACACACACACACACACACACACACACACACAC